TATTTTGTTTCAAAATATAGTTGCATATGTGTTACAATTTATGACAATATATTTGCATCAACTAGGTACAAGAGTTACAATCTTTTATCGCAATGGGTTACTATTATCCACAAATAGTAAATAGCTACTTATTTTTAAATGCTGCCAAAGTGATTAATAAGGTGTAACAAATTAGATATAACTAGGTGATGACCCCCGTGTACATTTGTTTGGTAATAATTTATTTTTATGTTTATTGTTTGGTTTTTAGATGTTTGTAAAAAACAAAATAGCATAAATTTTTTGATTTTTTAAAAACAACCAAATAACTTTATTTTACAAAAAAGCTTTTTGAAGTCTATTTGAGAAGTCTGCCTAACCGGTGAAATTGATCAATTACCAACAAATTCGGTTCGCTATGTTTCGGTTTCCGCCCAATTTGTTAAATAATTTCGATTTTCCACTATATTTTTTTTTTGGAATTTCAGACTTCTTTTAAAAGTCTACTGAAGAAGTTTACTTAACCCTAAACCCTAAATCAAATTTTTTGATTAAAGCTTATATAAAAACATTAATTTACTTACCATATTGACAACTCACAATCAAAATATCAAATATATGAATCCTTATATAATAACCGACCCATAAACTATGATTCATATTGAATTTGTGCAAATTCTAATAATGACATTCTTATACCTTAAACTTTAAACCTCAACCCTAACCCTTTTGAACTGTTGACTCATGAAACTGATAAATTGATTCATTTTCATGAACTTTTATTTTATAAAGATACTAATTGTCTATATTTTAGTTTTGTATGTAATTTTTTTACCAGATTATTTTTTTATAATTTTTACTATTAACATTTAAGATTTAGTGATTGAGTAGACTTCTCTAGCAGACTTCACATGGTTGTATTGGTTTCTAACATAATTGTCTACGTTGATTTAAATTAAAATTTTTTATATGAAATTTTGTTTTTATTAGATGGAAAATGTATATATTTTGGTTATATATTTATTTTTTTATCAAATTATTTTTTTATAATTTTTTAATTAATTTTAAAGAATTTATTAAAGAGTAGAATTCTCCTAATAATTACTTTTATTAAGGATTCTATAGTGTGCAGATTTTAAAGTAGACCCTAAAGTCCTCACTGTGCATAGAAAAATATCTTTTGACCAACGCATGGGGAGTATGAGCTGGATTGTGTGCAGGATCTTTCACCTCAACCAGGGGCAGATGCACATTGGGAAAGTGGTGGCACGTGCCCCATACTCTTTTTTTTTAGTAGTTAAAAATATGGAAATTGTTATTTTTCTATTTTTGTTAGATATGGTAAATATCTATTATTAAGAGTCCATTCTAAGTATAAATGTAAATCAAACCACTTATAAATAATAGTATGTTTAACGTGACTTAAAGCCCCTAAACACTTTTTTTATTCTTTTTTTTGTGTTCTATATATTATTTTTCTTCACAAGAAACAGAAATAGCTTCTAAGGTAATATTTTTTTTTGTTAATTGATTTAATTTAGGTTTTGTCTCTTTTTAAGTTGATTTTTACTAGTTTGATTCATTGTTCTTATGCTTATGTGATAAATTCATATCTTTTTCAGATATCAATGGAAAAATATTATAAAAGAAAGAGTCCATCAACGCCTGCCAATGATTGTGACGATTTGCCTTCGGATCCTGCAGATAGGAAACGAATATTAGATTATCATCCTAATGAAAGAGATGAGGTAAGACGCAAATATCTTGTTAAAGGTCCTTGTCAACCTCGTGGTCATGATTTTCCGAAAACAGCAACAGGAGATAAATTGAGACGACTCAGTTCGTCTTGTTTTGATATTTATGCTCGTTGGTTGGAATATAGTGTGAAAACAGACAAAGCTTTTTGTTTGGTTTGCTACTTGTTTAGAGACTACACTGAAAATAAATGTGGAAGTGATGAATTTGTGACAAGAGGCTTCAATAGTTGGAAAAATCCAAAGAGATTGCAAGAACATGTGGGATCAGTGAATAGTTTTCACAATAATGCATTGAAAATGGCTGATAATCTGATGACACCAGGTCAATCAATTGTTCATGCTTTCTATAAGCTAGATGACGCAATCAAGAATGATTATAGGATCAGATTGAATGCTTCAATTGATTGTTGTAGATACTTACTGCGACAAGGATTACCTTTTCGAGGCCATGATGAAAGTGTCGGATCAGCTAATAGGGGAAACTTTGTAGAGCTTCTGAAATACACTGCAGAGCAAAATGAGAACCTAAGCAAGGTTGTGTTGGAGAATGCTCCAAAAAATAATCAGATGGTGTCTCACAAAATCCAGGCAGACATAGTGCATTGCTTTGCAGAAGAAGTTATTGGATCTATTGTTCAAGAAGTAAATCATGATGTGTTTTGCTTGTTGGTCGATGAATCCGCAGATGTGTCTGATAAAGAGCAAATGGCAGTGGTTTTTCGTTTTGTTGATAAAAATGGGATAGTCAAAGAGAGATTCCTTGGTCTTATTCATGTTCTGGAAACATCTTCTTCCACTTTAAAATGTGCTGTTGATTCATTGTTTTCTAAACATGGATTAAGTATGAAAAAGTTAAAAGGACAAGGCTATGATGGAGCAAGTAACATGAAGGGTGAATTTAATGGGTTGAGATCTTTGATTTTGAGAGAAAATAGTTCTGCATATTATGTCCATTGCTTTGCTCATCAGCTTCAGTTGGTTGTCGTGGCAGTTGCAAAAAAGCATTTTGAAGTTGGGGATTTCTTTGACATGATTTATGTCTTGTTAAACGTGGTTGGAGCTTCTTGTAAGAGAAAAGATATAATTCGAGAAGACCATCAGAGCAAAATCGAAGAAGGAATTAGTAAAGATGAAATTAAGACGGAAAAAGGATTGAATCAGGAGCTTTCATTGCAAAGACCTGGTAATACTCGTTGGGGTTCCCACTACAAAACCTTACTGCGGTTGGTTAGTTTATTTTCTTCGATCATTAAAGTGCTTGAGTGTGTTGAGATCGATGGGACTGATGGTATCAAAAGACGCCAAGCTAATGGTCTTCTTAAATACTTTCACACATTTGACTTTGTGTTCTACTTACAGTTGATGTTGCTTATTCTTGGGCTCACAAATAATCTATCAAAGGCTCTGCAAAAGAAAGATCAAGACATTTTGAATGCTATGTCTCTAGTGAAATCCACCAAGCAGCAGCTATGCAAGCTCAGGGACAGTGGATGGGATTCTCTCATTGATAAGGCAACATCTTTTTGTGAGAATCATAAAACTGAGCTGCTCATTATGGAAGAAGATTTTGTCGATCCAAAGAAACCAAGAAAAAAAGCAACAAGACGAACTTGCATCATTATCAGGTGGAATGCTTTTACACAGTATTGGATATGCAAATTCAAGAGTTTAATGACCGTTTTGATGAGGTAAACACTGAATTGCTTGGATGTATTGTGTCTTTGAGTCCTATTGATTCATTCTGCGAGTTTGATCCCTTGATCTGAGTTTTATCCAGAAGATTTTAGTCATATGGAACGGATTTCTCTTGAGCATCAACTTGGTATTTACATCGATAAATATTCGAGATGATGAAAGATTTGCTAATTTGGATAATCTTGGAGATCTTGCACGTGTGATGGTCGAGACAAAGAAACATTTTCACATCCTTTTGTTTATCGACTTTTGAAACTTGCGCTGACTTTACCTGTAGCCACTGACACCGTGGAGAGATGTTTCTCTGGAATGAAGATAGTGAAGACTACATTACGAAATCGAATGAGCGACCAGTTTTTAAATGATTGTCTAGTTTGTCTTATTGAGAAAGAACTATTTAACAGTGTGACAAACGAAATAGTGATAAAAAGATTCCAAACTATGGAAGATCGTAGGATAGTTTTATACAAAGTTTTTTTATTTGTTTTTTATTTAGTCATCAATTTTTTATTAATATTAAAATAAAAAAGTTTGTGCCCCATTCTAAATAAATTTCTGCGTCCGCCCCTGACCTCAACGAGTTATATAATAGGACAGGGTATTATATTTGGGTATGCGCATAAATTGCAAGTTCTTCCTCTGGCAAGATTGATACAAAAGTTGAATCAAAAACATAAGATTCTGAGCCAAACCATGAAAACATAGATCACCAATTTGTTTTATTATTTATTTTCTCAGAATTTGCAGGAAGATCCTAATATTGGCTTTGGTCGCTTGCTTGTTGACTTTCCAAGTGCTACTGGCAAAAGCATTTGATGGATCTTGCTCGTAGCAAGTTGCTCCTCACACGTTAATGTCGTTTGCATTATTGGTCATGAGTACGACTGATATCTGGCACTGAACAAATTTGAAACTTTCCTGGGTCTTTGTCATTTTGGTTTTGTGTTGAAATCGAAAAAATTAAAGTTGAGGTTAGTTAAAGATTAGAGTGTCTGCATCTTTGTGAAGACCACCAAAACTGTGTGAACCGGTCGTGTTAGTGTGGATCGAGAGCCATGGCCACATAGAGTTCTACGACTAATTGTGGCACTCTTGGATAGATTTCGTTAATTATTATGAGATTCAAATTTGTTGAATACTAATCATCTTTGAATGCCTTGAATCCATAGTATCTTCAAATTATTTAGTATTAAGTTCATTAACATGTGAAACTCTTCCTCATATATATATATGCAATGGGGAATAGAAGACCAATACTTTATAATCCATCGGTTAAGAAACGTAAAACTAACACAATTAGAGAAACCTAAGAATCAATAACAATTGCTTGAAGGACAAGTCATCAAAACTCAGCATCAATTCTAGGAAATCTTGGATAATTCGACATACCTGATATTAAATTGAATGATTTTTTACTCTCTTTTTGTTTTTTTTTTAAATTAACCCCGGTATACTGAGATGCTACAAGGTAAATAATGTTTTCTTCTTGTGTTTGCACTTTGAAGTATGAAAGTGCTCTTCAACATTTTTGTATGCGTTATCAAGTTTCATAAGTGAAAGTGATTTGGCTTCGTCAATATACTGAATTTGCATTCTTCAACCTTTGGAAGTGTAAACGGTAAGAAACTAAAAAAGCATCCAACAGTATCAAGTCGTACTCCAATTACCTTTCTTTTCATTACGACTTATTTTTCAATAAAAGAAAGAAAAAAATCCGAAGGTTTTGATAAAGGCTAGAAACAAAAATCCAAAGATATCACAATGATCTTTCTCAAAACCCAAAGCATAGGAGTTGTTGATGGCTCTAAGAAACCACTTCACTTGGCAGCAGAGTGCTTGGCCTTGTTGTGAGACTCAAGTGCATTCTCGGAGTTGAATATCTGACATAAGATAGATGATCACAACAAGAGAATTGTTATTACAAGAAGAAATATTAGGCTCATAGAGAGTTTAAAGAGACAGAGAGAGAGTCTGACTTCTTGCATGAACCACATGAGACTGGAGTTGCAGTCGCTGGAGTCTTTCCACCTTTCTTTGTTGGGTGGGGCGTTGCGGTGTGTCCTTTCTTCTTATCCTCTGTGCCAAATAAATCTTCAAATGAGTACTAAAGTTTCACAGAATGTGTGCTGCTTCATTTATGCTATCTAGTGAATCATTTAAAAGAAAAAGTTTTGATCTTTACATATTTTCTTCGGAGTTACTTCATCTTTAGCCTTCTTTGCAGACACGGGTTTTTTGGGTGCTGCTTCATTGGCTCTCTTCTTGCTTGATTCAGGCTTTAAGCAAATCATATGAAAAAGTATGGTGAAAAGAGAATTATCAAGCACAAGGAAGTGTTGGAGAGACTTTGAGATATATTATTACCTTTTTAGGTGTCTCCTCCTTTTCTTCCTCACAATCGTCTTATCATCAGAATCGTCTTCATCAACACTCATCTGCAAAGAAAAAAACCAATCATATTAGAACTTATCGCCTACGTTTCTTGAATTCATCATCACTCTAAATGGTGCATGATATGCATATTACTTTGAAACAAAGAAACAAAATCAAAGTACGGTACAGAAAACTCACTCCTTCATCAGAATCGGATTCATCCTCTTCAACATCATCTGCTTCAGGCTTCGCATTCTTTTTCACTTCTGCAGCCTTGTCCTTGAGAGCATTAGCCTTAGAAGCATTGTATTGTGGAGATATTCCAAACATCTCGCTACCAGCTGTTATCTTCATCCGAGTGCTCCACACAAGCGGTTTCTTACCATGAGGAAGATCTAAAACCAAACAGAAATGATGATTGAGTTTCGTTCTGCAATAAGCTTAGAGAGACAGGTAAAGAGAAATTTTGAGTTGAGGTATACTATAAGAACATACCATAGAGGTAATTTTCAAGAGATCTTAGTGGCATGTACTCATAGATCAAGAGCCTCTGAACACCTTGAGCACATAAATCAATAAGCTTTACAAGGTTCTCATGATCAGCGAGACTTAGTGTCAACAATTCACACGAACTCTCTGATTCCTTGAGCACCATTTCGATCATGTTGCTTGATTGCAAGAGCATATTCACAGATTGTTAAAAAAATCTCCAACCAGTTAAATCCACATTACACAATAAAACTGATTGAATCAAGAAACATACCTCATCGAGTTTGTCAATAAAGCTTTTGTAAACTTTTTCGAAACCTCCTTCGCCTAGGAAACAATCCGACCTGATGTTTCCTGTAGAAACAGAGAGTTCCTCTAAGGTGAAATTCTGTGCTTTCTTCCCTGAAACTTCATATTCCACATTCGAATCCTTCGCGTCGAAAGCTAATTGATCCTCCTTAGTAGTTATATCCTTGTTTACATCTCCACATGGACTGACTTTTTAAGCAATATACACAACACATACAGCACACATCAAGATATGAATCAAGGATTGCAGCAAAAAAACGTTTAACCAAAAACTAAAAATTGTCTCTGTCTCCTCCAATACGATACACAAATAAACATAATTTATCTCTAACAAGTCGATTCAAAAACGTCATTTCGCAATAAACAGATGACTTAATTCCGGAAATTTCTAAATCAAATACCCAAAGAGCGAGATTCTGAATTTGAGAAATCAAAAATATGATTTATAGCTTTGAGAAACCCATACAATACCTGAGCTAGAATGCGTATGAGAATTTTGAATTACGTTCTTACGATCGCAGTTTCCATCGACTGCGATTTTGTTTTTGGCAAACTCGTTGTTCTTTGTCTCCAATCGTTTGCTGGATTTCCCCGTGAGTCTGAAACAGACCATCGCGAGAAGCTGAAACGTATATTGTGATATTGATCTTCTCCTTCAAAGACCTAGAAAAATTCAGAAGGGGAAGAGAACATCAAAGAGAATTAGCGAAAAGGGAAAATTGGATTCTGGGGCAGGAAGGCGAAGAGTTATGGAAAGGAGAGAGAGAGGAAGGCAAAGTGAAAAATACTTAATTTAAAATTTATTAAAGGGAGGAGGAACATAAATAATCCACACAATACCTGAACTTGGATGCGTCTAAGAATCTCGAATTACGTTCTTAGTATCGCAGTTTCCGTCGACTGCGATTTTGTTTTTGACAAACTCGGTTTTCGTCTCCGATCGTTTGCTAGATATATCTGAGATCAAATGAGAGTGTTGGGAATTTCTCAGAACTGATGGTAAATTGAGTATTTATAAAGAGGTTAAATCTTTTTTCTAAATCCATTAGTATTGCACAGAAAACGGGATTAGAATTTGGAACAATTGCTTGTGTTTCGTAAAGTTTAAAGAAAACTGTGTCACGTAGAGACCTCATTCTATTTAATTAAGTTTATAAAATAAAAATAAAAATAAAAAAAATTAATGCTAATGTGTCAGAGAGAAGGGTGCTGAGGTGTCATCTCCTTGTGAGACACAACCCACTCTTTATATAATAAAAGATGTATAACAAGCTTTTATCACAAAAGAAACAAAATATAATAGAAAAAACAGAATCGAATAAAACATAATTAGAAAAAAGCATATTAAAAAAATACTTATAAATAACATACATTTTTCATGTTACAAGTATATAAATCTACTAGATTATATAATACAAAAACAGATTTGATATGTACAACTATTGCTAACACATCAAACTTATATATTAAAAAGAGTTAAAGTGTTGATATATTACCTTTTGTACCCATCAAGCAAGTTCAAGAAACTGCATATTCGTCAGTATGGTCAGAGCCTGCATCATCTTCAGCTAGGGAGTTCTCTTGTAGTGCTTCTTCATGGTTTGGAAGCTGATCTGTGTGCACATGAATAAGATTCATGGCCGGTTTAACATTGGCCTCTAAGTTAGTGCGTTGAACTGGAGCCGAATCAGTAGCTGAAGCTAGTGGAGGACCTGTGCTCATCACCATCTGAACAAAGTTGTTTTTTGCCGTTTCTCCTGAAAATGGAGTTTAGACGAGAAAGAAAATTTCCACTACTTCATCAAGTTCTAGGAGGCAATTGCATATAGTTTACGAGCGATGGTTGATTGTTATATACAAAAAAAAATAAAAATACTAAGTGTTAACTTTTCACACTTAATGGTAAACGTCATTTACTTAAAATTGAGGATGTTGAAGGCAAAATCACTTGCTTTATCAAGGTATATGGACTAGTAGATTCTAAGAAAAAAAGATAATGTCGTCTTCCTACCACTCATTTTTCTTGTGGACACGGCTCTACTTCTTCAGCATGTAAATGATTATTTGAAGTTCTTCTATAATGGTATTCATCCAAACCAGAGATGGGTTTGGTTGTGTGATGAAGTTTGTGGACGACGATGAAACAATTCGTCAAGTTGTTGAAGATTTAAAGATACTTTATGAAGAGATATAAAATATTTGCATCACCCACATCCATTTGGAATGCTTGTACATAGCACACATGCCAATACATATCTAAATGGAACACATTAATCAATAATTATAGATAAAATTATCTAGTTTGCGGTGAATAAATTAAAATATTATTTGGTTAACCATTTTTTATTATCTATAATTATTTATCTGTCCTTATTTGAAGTACAAAAGTTGTGCAAAGAAGCAGCATCTACACTACCTACAGTTTTGGTTCCTAATCATTTGAAAGATATGATTACATTGAGAATGATTTATGAATCAATTCATCTTAAATTTATCTATGATATTCATTGTTTAGTACATAACACACTTTATTATAATTTTATATTCCTTGTTAAGTCAGTGTGATTGATTTTTTTTTAAATAATAGTGATTTGATATTTTCATGGGTATTAAATATTAGTATGATATTTATTTTGGTATTCTGTAAATTGGAATATATTTTAATTAATAAATAAATCAAATAATATTTAGATGAATATAAGAATACTTAATTATACAAAAAATATTATTTTATTAAAATCATACTTAGTTGAACTTAAAAATACATATTTGCTACTTGTAAAAATATAAAAAAATTATTTAAATTATATAAAATTACGGCATACTAAATTAATATAATTGTGTAGCTACCAATAATATCAACTGTTTACAAAAACTTATCAATACATATTTTTCATGGTGAAGAAGACATAAATTCATCTTCAAACATATTAAAAAGATTATAAAAAAAATCAAAAACAAATTACTAACTTTTAAAAGGAAGAAATTAGGAATTAATTTGTCCAAGAAAGAAGCATTTCAGTCTTTGATTGTCTTTTACTACTTAGGAGTAGTAGTTTAGTTGAGTATCCCTATGCCAAGTCGCATTTACAATTCTATTTTTTTCTTTAATATTCAAACATTTCCGTCAATCGAAGTTCAACCGTATGAGACCATAATGCAGAAATTTGAAGGAGTTCTTAAATAGAAAAGAGAAAAAAAAAATATGAGGGGGCAGAAAATTAAGTGAGAATCACCTTTTCTATCAGAGACTGTAGAATCGACTCTCATATAACGTGTCATACATTTATTTGTAAAGAAAAAAATTTTGGTTGAAAATCAAAAATTAATTTTATTGTTTCTATCGATACATTCTGTTTGTTTTCGCTTGTCTCTTATAGATCTCTGCTCTCTCTTTCTCTCTCTTCCGAATTTGGGGCATGCTTTTTTCCGTCTCTAGGAATTGCCGGAGAAAGCAAAGAAGGCGAGGGGATATGGTGGTGGTTTGATAAGGGAAAACCCGATCAACAATTAATAATCAAATAGACCCAAACCGATGTTTCGAGAAACACGAGTCCGGTGTTTACCTGCCAAGAATCCACAGAGGAGAAGGGATTTTTCGGCGATTTGTCACGCAAGGAGTGAGGGAGAAGAAATATTTTTCTGAATAATTTTTTTGATAAAAAAAGTAATTGTTTCCGATACAAGATATATCCGAATTGCTCAATTGGGTTTCACAAACCAAAGCCCATTCGATAAAAGTAAAATAAGGACTTAAAGCTCAAAACCCTGTAACAAATCCTTCCGCGCTGAGAGAACCTTGACCTCAAGGTTCAAAAAAGGGCCACTTCTGCTGCACGTCAAACATAAACTCCCAAGTTGCCTCCTCAATTGCTTGATTCTTCCATTTGACCAGCACCATAGTAGCTGCTCGCTCCTGCCTCTGCACCATCTTCCTCTCTAGAATTGACTCTGGTTCCTTGACCAAAACATCTTGCACAACCGATGGAAGATGCGTTGAGACTTTAAATTCCCCAACCTGCAATTTCAGCTGAGAAACATGAAAGACAGGATGGATCTGCAATGACGCCGGGAGTGCCAGTTTATAAGCCACATGACCACATTTGTCAACTATCTTGTAAGGTCTAAAGTATTTGGGTGCCAATTTCTGGTTAGCACGTATCACCACAGACTTCTGACGATACGGTTGAAGTTTGACATAAACATAGTCCCCGAGTTCGAAGTTCCGATCAGTGCGATGCTGATCTGGAAACTGTTGCATCTGATGTTGAGCTCTGAGTAAGAGGAAATTCAAGAGGAGAATCATAGCTTCTATATCCTGCAAGCATTGAGCAACCACAGCGACTCGAGATTCACCAGGGAGATACGGCAAACGCTGCGGAGGGGACTTACCGTAGACTGCTTCATAAGGCGTCATTTGAGTGGCAGAGTGGAAGTTGGTGTTATACCAGAACTCAGCCAATGGTAACCATTTACTCCACATCGAAAGGCAATCACTGCACATACACCTCAAGTACGTCTCCAAGCAGCGGTTGACCACTTCTGTTTGTCCGTCGCTTTGGGGGTGATAAGCACTCGACATGTTTAGAGCAACACCTTGCAGACTGAATAACTCCCGCCAGAACTCACTGAGGAAGACATCATCTCTGTCACTGACAATAGATTGAGGAAGGCCATGGAGTTGTAAACGTTATCCAGGAATGCCTGTGCCACTGAAATCGCCGAGTAAGGGTGCGCGAGTGCAATAAAATGAGCTGCTTTGCTAAGGCGATCAATGACAACTAGAATGACAGATTTACCAAAAGATTTGGGTAGTCCATCAATGAAGTCCATGGAGATATCTGTCCATGTAGCCTCTGGAATAGGAAGCGGTTGCAACAGCCCCGCAGAAGCTGCTGTATCATACTTACACTGTTGGCAAACACTGCAGCTGCGAATGTAAGCTTGGATGTCTTTTGCCATGCCTTTCCAGTAAAAAATCCCCTTAACACGCTGATGGGTTGCGTCACGACCAGAGTGGCCCCCAATAGTTGATCCATGAAGCCATTCTAAGATCGTGTTTTGTAGCCCCGCATCTCGTGGAACAACGAGCTTGCTTTTCCTCCGTAATATGTCCTTGGACCAAGAGAAGTGCTTGCGTGCCTAGGGGTTTAGTTTCAGTTCCTCAATGAGCCCTTGAATCTCTGCGTCACTCTGATAACCAGCTTGAATCTGATGAAGCAAGTCACAGTTCAGAACAGACATCGCCATGTACAGCACTTGAGATCCTTTCACTCGAGACAGAGCATCCGCTACCACGTTTTCCTTGCCTTGGCGATATTGAATTTTGTAATCAAACTCCAGAAATTTAGGTAGCCACTGTTGTTGAATAGGTGTGTTAAGCCTTTGCTCCAACAAGTATTTGAGACTACGCTGGTCGGCCTTGATTATGAAATGCCCTGTCAACAAGTAGTGTCGCCACTTCTGCACCGCAAACACCACAGCTAGCAATTATTTTTCATAGATTGAAAGATGCAGTTGTTTACCTTTCAGATGCCTACTGATGTATGTCAGAGGATGGCCAGCTTGCATCAATACCGCACCAATTCCCTGACCACAAGCATCCGTTTCTACCACAAAAGGCTGATCAAAGAGAGGTAATGCTAACATAGGAGCCTCGCACAAAGCCTGTTTCAACGCATCAAAGGCAGCTCCTGCTTCGGTGGACCACTTGAATGAATCCTTCTTAGTAAGGTCTGTTAAAGGGCGAGCAATCGTGCCAAAGTGGCAGACAAAGCGTCTGTAATAGCCGGCGAGTCCCATGAAACCCCTTAGTTGTTTGAGATTCGTAGGGATTGGCCATTCTTTCACGGCTGCACCTTGTCTGGATCTGTAGAAATCCTTGAGCCTGAATGTAGTGGCCCAAGTACTCAACTCGCTCTGTAGCGAAAGCACATTTGCTCTGTTTAGCAAACAAACGATGCTGTCGCATCAACAGGAAAACTTGACGCAAATGACCAATGTGCAAGTCGAGAGAAGAGCTGTACACCAGAATATCGTCGAAGAAGATGAGAACACTCCTTCGTAGCAGCGAGTTGGAGACATCATTCATGAGACCCTGAAAAGTGGCAGGTGCATTCGTCAGTCCAAAGGGCATGACGATGTACTCGTAGTGTCCACTATGAGTTTTGAAAGCTGTCTTATGAATGTCAGCTGGATCCATTCTGACTTGGTGGTAGCCTGCACGCAGATCGATCTTAGAGTAGACCGTGGATCCCCCTAACTCGTCCATAAGAACCTCAATAAGTGGGATAGGAAACCTATCTTTCACCGTCAAGCTATTGAGTCCCCGATAATCCACGCAGAGCCTCCAGGTTCCATCTTTTTTCTTCACCAAAACCACGGGTGAAGCATACGAAGTAGAGCTGCTTTGTATAGTGCCTTCGCGGAGAAGTTCCTGCACTATTTTGTCTATCTCGTTTTTTTGGTGCAGGGAATAGCGATAAGGATGTTGGTTGACAGGGTTAGAGCCTTGGAGGAGAGGAATCTTGTGATTATGGTGTGTTCGGAAGGGAGGAAGGGAGGTGGGAGTGGCGAAGATGTCCTGAAACTCAGAAAGTAACAGATCAATAGCCGGTTGCGGATGTGCAGGAACCGCAGCCATTGTCAAGGAGTTCAACCCGATCGTGTTGTCATCATCTTCTCGTTGCACACAAATCATTGAGAGTTGAGCGTCATCCCCCTTGATAAGCTTATGCAACTTTTCTGCCTTGATAGCCTTCACGGAGTCTGGTTTGATACCATGGAGCAAGACAGTTTGATGTTCCCACTCAAACTGCATCGTCAGTTTTTTGAAATCCCACATAATAGGGCCTAACAATTCAAGCCACTGCACTCCCAAAACCATGTCACACCCCCCTAAAGGAATCACCATGATGTCTGA